AGACATTGTTATAAACGGGAGTTCGATACAGTGTGAGCAGTAGCACAATTAGTACCATTGTTTGCGTGACCTTCTGAGGGATGGCTCAGAAATTTAGGTATCACTTGTGAAATCTGAGCACTAAACAACCTGCCCACAATGTGACTTCTGGACTATAATCCATCCATAAATTGGTGACTATCCATGGAGACTCCCTGTAAAATGGTAGAATGATCAGGAACAAAACTCTGAAAATAAGCTTGATCTGTTCCACCTCCAAATAATGGGACTCCTACTTTGTGCTGTGTTCAAGCTTGTTCAGGATGTCTTTACAGTGGCAAGACAGTCAATAATGACGCCAAATCCAAATGCAAACAAAGGTGGTTCCAGGCAAGGTCGATCTGGATCAAATCCTTGTGAGTTCACCATTTTGAACAAATCTTGCTCACTGATTTTGTTTACAAAAATATTCTCTCTGCCAGAGAAGGGAAGAAAGAATTTTCTTGCAGAGCCAGCATTCAAAAATACTCATTATCTCCACAAGAAACCCTAAAGTAACCCAAGAACAACTCTTGCATCTGTTTATTAAAAATCTCAAATTGTCCTGGCTACGAGATCCGTGTTCGTATGCATTTTGCCAATATTTAGCATCTGTATCCAAACAAAAAAAGAGGAGCGGGATTAAGGGAAGGCCCTATTAATTATGAAATTGTGTTTTCTCATTCTATTACCCAAACACTGAAGATGCATTTCAGGTTTTCACTAAAAGTTAAAGATCAATTAAGTAATTTTTATAGAACATTGGCTTTAAAGCACCACAGAACATTCCTCCAAACCTGACTGAACTTCGCAGAAAAATCTTTGGGTTTTTTTGGTTGTAAAAACAGCATTGCCAAGATCCTGACAACTCAGGAGGGAGCGCCCTCCTCTTGTCTTTCTCCAGCCCTTGTTTTACATTTGGGATATCTGCTGTTATTGTTTCCTCATGGAAAATAAGCGTGATTTTATCCTTGAAAAAGGATTACTTCTCAGAAAGATTATTTTTGAATTGAAATTTTAGGAAGTATACACTTCAAAGGTCTCTCAACTATTCAGTATCCAACTTACATTTTGCTTTAAGAAACCAAAATAGTGGCTGGCCTCATGGCCGAGTGGTTAAGTTTGCGCGCTCCGCTGCAGGCGGCCCAGTGTTTCGTTGGTTTGAATCCTGGGCACGGACATGGCACTGCTCATCGAGCCACGCTGAGGCAGTGTCCCACATGCCACAACTAGAAGGACCCACAACGAAGAATATACAACTATGTACCGGGGGGCTTTGGGGAGAAAAAGGAAAAAAATAAAATCTTTAAGAAAAAAAAAAGAAACCAAAATAAAATGTATCCTCCAAAAATGTTTGCTTTGACTCATGACACTATGCCATGATTATTGACTATGACTTGTTTTTATTTGTAATGACCATTTAAAATACATGCTCTTTATAATTGTTAAAATACGCATGTATTTGTAAAATATTAAAAAAATCTTAAAGAAAATTAAAATCACCCACAAACCCACCACCCAGATGTAATCATTAAATCTGTATATTTCTTTCTTCTATTTTTTCTCTCTTCACTTTCACACATACATACGTATGTGCACACACACATTTTGAAACACAACACAGATCATACTATTTATACAGTTTTTTATCTGTTTTTTTGGCTTAAAATTTTGTCATGAGCATTTTTCTATGTCATTAAGTATTTTCTGAAAAAAAACTGTAAAGCTCATACAGTATTTTATATATGTTCACGCCACACTTTATTCGATAATTCTACTATTTTTGATACTTGTTGTTTCTAATGTTTCACTATTCAAAACCTGACAGGGAGTCCTGGCTGGAGTGGAGCTGGGGCTCTGATGCTTCCAGATTGTTAGGTTAGGTAGACTCTTGTCCACCATGGGTCTGTTGGATTATAGTTACTTTCATGGAAGCTGAAGAGCTTCCTGAATTTACAAAAACTTGAACCCTGTACAGATATTTGCAGATGTCTGAAGAATTAGGGAGCCCGTGATGAGCGCTGCATACCAACCTTCCCCAGAAATGCACTCAACTCTGCCCGAAGCGTGAGAGAAATTCATCACAACTGAAAACGGGATAAAAATGAAAGGCATATCCTAGCATCAGGGCTTGATGTCAGAGGGAGAGTGGTGGTTTGGGGTCCAGTGTGCTGACTGATTTTAGAAACACATTCCATTTATGCACCTTGTGGGAGATGGCAACATGCATGCGCTGGAAGACTGTGAACTCTGACACTTTGGCAACCCAAGGAGCTCTGCTGTGGGTCAAACCCTAACCGAGCCTAATAAGAATGTCTTAACTTTCATTTCACAAGATTATCTGCAGCAGGCAGATCTCTGGCACTCGGGTGTGGTACCGGCTTGACAATTTCACAAACATTGAGAAGAGCTTGTTTTCAGCGGTGTCAGTGACAATAACCACAGTGAAAGTAACAGTGTTGATGATGGCAGTCACTAACTACAATAGGACAAAAGTCCTAGTTCACGACTGGCACTGAAGGAAGGTGTTGCAGGCCCCGCTTGGATCATCATGATGGGAAAGAAAAAAACTCTCATACTCTGGAAGGTTGAACACCTTTAGAGTGGGAAATCCTCCAGACTGAATGTAAGTTTGATTTTTGAGTCAGAAGGCAGAGGCAGGATTCCAGCTTCCTTGACATCGAGGGTGGCAGATTTCCAGCAGCAACAGTGCCAGGTGAAGAGGAGCAGCATATTTCAGCTCTTGCTGTGTCTGCTGCAGCAGAATCCTGGCCCAGCTGGCAAGGGAGCAGGGAACCACCAGAAGTGGCTTGTGTATACACATTGCTTCCTCTGGAAATATTAGGGAGAAGAGGACCCTATAATGAACATGGAGGCTTAGGGCTGGTGAGATTTTAGGTATGAATATTCATGTGACTGCTTTTGTATTCATATGTTTATGAAGCCTGGAATATTTACATTTCATAAATGAAAATGTTCTTCTAAATAGCTGCATCGAGTTGGGATCAGTGTAAACCACTGAAGGTATTTGCATTAGTCAGTTTGGCTTGCCAGAACAAAATACCACAACTGAGTGGCTTAGACAATAGAAAGTTATTTTTCACCGTTCCCGGTGGCTGGAAAGTCCAAGATCAAGGTCCAGCAGGATTTGGTTTCTGGTGAGAGCTCTCTTTCTGGCTTGTGGATGGCTGCCTTCTTGCTATGTCCTCACATGGAAGAGAGAGAACTCTGCTGTCTCTTCTTCTTCTTATAAGGGCACCACCACCCTTACGACCTGATTTAACCTTTATTACATTCTCATAGGCCCTATCTCCAAATATGTTCCCATTGAGGGTTAGGCCTTCAACATATGAATTTTGTGGGGACACAAACATGCAGTCTATAACAGTATCTTAAGCAGACAGAATCTAATGCAAAGGCTTAGGTGCTTACAAAATTAATGGAAGGGCAAGAAGACTACAAATCAAAGGCCTGCTACCTGAACCGTCGTGATCGTGAGTACACTGCCACTTTGTCTATCCTAGGACAAGAGTTACTGTCATTTGTGCTGCTGCTAAACTGTCTTTCAGCATCCACAAAGCTAGTGACTAGATGTGGGTATGCCGAGTTTGGCCATTGCATTTGTATCTGAATGCATCTGTATAACTTTGCTTACCAAGAGAAGAGCAGCAAGAAGACTGCCTATTCTCTAATTCCACCTTTCCAATCTTTTCCTAGTGCATCAAATTGGAAGAACCTATTCCTGAGTCTTGCTGCAAAGGAGTCTGGGAAATATAGAAATGTAGCTTATACCTTTCCAATCTCTCTAGTAATGAAAGACATGCCAGAGGGAGGTGGGATAAATGCTGGGTGACAACTGGCCATATCTCTTACCGGCCACCCCTTTAACTATTCAGTATCCCAGAACAACCCTTAAACTACCATACTCAGTCCACAATAGCAACCACAACATACTTCTTCCTGGTTTAGTGCAACTATTACAAGCAAAACATACTCATCGTTTCCCCAAATGAATAAATCCAAAACCCCATCATTCACAGTATCCATCTCTGGGTGATATTCACTTCTCCTCTAGTTTAAACAAAATTCCAATTTGATGTTTTATAATCTAAATACTTAATTATAAAATTAACCACCATTAACATATCTTACATAAAATAGCATAGGAAAGGTGGGGGGATGGGATAATATAGACACAGAGATAACACAGAGAACAAGGAAGAATATACAGGTAGCCACTACAATCATTATTTCTGCAAGTGTTCATGAGGCCATAGTTGGTACTTACAGTATCCTTCCTTCAAGTACCCATTCTGTCTTCCTTTTACTCCCAGAAAGCATGTAAAACTAGATGGGGTCTTTACCAGCTAATTCCTTGATGATCTGAGCCCTTGCATGTATTTCCTTAACGGAGTTGCTGCATCTTCTGGTGCTTTTCACCCTGGACAAGGCAGTGTCCCAGAGAGTCCCTGAGTTCCAGACATACTCCTCAGTGCCTCTGTTGGGTAGCAACAACCCTGTTTCCTTCTAGATAATTAGGGTCAATCTCCATGGCTAATGAACTTTCCCCTTTTTTTTGGCCTTTGGTTTAATGGCACGAGAAACATCACAGTTTCCACTTCGATAAAAGCATTGTTGTGTACCACAGTGGAAGCATTTTCACCTCAGTTATTACAACCTCTAAACCAAGGAGCCCAAAATTGCAGTCAGGGACCAAAAATTATTAAATGTATGAACAGGTTTAATAGTAAGAGGTGCCATTCCCATTTCCACCCCTTTTTTCTTGGACCCACATATTCTACATATGGGAAAAAGACAATATTGGAAACTTAGAGCATACACGCCATCCTGTAGGACACCACACTACTCTTTCAAGGTGTTTCTCTCTTAGCTGGTATTAAATAGAATCTTTAATAGGTCATTCCATGAGTCTATGAGGCCAGGAGCTTCTGAGCAAATGGATATACGAAAAGACCAGTGAATCTGTAGACATTTGCCTATGTCTTTTATTTTTCTGTAAAACTTTTTTTGGTGCCAAGAAATATTTTGTGGGATACTGGGAGAGTGAATAAGCATGAAGTAAGTCCAATGATGGGATGCTGACAGAAGTCTTGTGGGCAGGAAAGACAAATCCATATTTAATATGCGTTTATTATATTGAGGATAAATATTTGTCCCTCTGTGCTGGAAGGGGTTCAGTATAAACAACCTACCTCAGGTGGCTGGCTGGTGCCCCAGGGATGCTGTATAGGATCGGGGGAAGGTGGGGGTTCTGCCTTGGTCTCTGTTGTGGGTGGATTGGGCACCAAGCAATGGTGGTAGCTAAATCAGACTTGATGAGGGGAGGCCACATTGCTGAGTTCATATATAAACTGTATCCCTATCGCTATGTCCACTCACTCATGAGCTCATTGAGTAAGCTCTGAAGTGGCTGGGAAAGCCTCAAGTGACTGATAACCATAAAATGGATCATCTTGTCCATATAATTATTGAGGATGTTACTGTGTCACTGAAGCAGGTGCTCTACAGTAAGGATTTACTTAGAACACAAATATTTTCATAGTCTGGGCTCAACCTGAGAGATCAATCCATAAATATTTTCCTAAGTTCTCATCACCAGTCTCCAATTTTGTTCCTTCCAAGTTCCTGACATTTGAACAAACTTAAATTGGCATAGATCTGTACATGTGGCCATCTGTCCTTCAAGGCATGTGAAATTCCCAGGAAAACTGCACAGAGTTCTGCCCACTGGGACGACAGCCCTCCTCTCATTCCTTCCTGCTGCTCCTGGCAGAGCTGCAATGCCGGAGCACTTCAGGCTGGTGCAAGTGTATTGTGCAGAACCATCTACAAACCAGGCTGGCCTTTTTTCTCCTTCTGTGACGAGGTGCATTAATTGCCCCATGAAGCTGTATATGTGGCTTGAGAGAGAGGAGCACGGGAGTCGGAGCCACCTGCTCATGCAATGCTCTTAGACTTTCAGGATCAGCTCTGGTGGCATCTCTAATGTCCCACTGTCTCCTGATGCTTGAATGCTGCTGGCAGAGCTGATTCTGTGGCATGACGGATCAGATATAATTCAGTTCAGGGGCTGCCTCTGCATCTTTTAAAAATGAGCACGAAGGACCACCTCACACCCATCAGGATGGCCACTATGGAAAAAAAAAGACAACAGAAAATAACACGTGTTGGTGTGGATGTGGAGAAATTAGAACCCTTGTACACTGCTGGTGAGAATGTAAAATGGTGCAGCCACTATGGAAAACAGTATGGAGCTTCCTCAAAAATTAAAAATAGAACTACCATATGACCCAGCAATTCCACTTCTTTGTATATATCCCAAAGAATTGAAAGCAGAGTCTCAAAGGGACATATTTGGACACCCACATTCATAGCAGCATTATTCACAATAGCCAAAGAAGGAAGCAACCCAAGCATCCACTGACAGATGAATGGATATACAAAATGTGGTATATACGTACAATGGAATATTCAGCTTAAAAAGGGATAAATTTCTGACACATGCTGCCAGATGGGTGAACCTTGAAGACATTAGGCTAAGTGAAGCCAGTCACAGAAAGACAAACACTGTGTGATTTCACTTATCTGAGGCACCTAGAGTTGTCAAATTCAGAAAGATAGAAAGCAAAATGGTGGTTGCCAGGGGCTGGGAAATGGGGAGTCACTGTCCTATGGGTACAGAGTTTGAGTTCGGCAGGATCAAAAGAGTTCTGGAAATAGATAGTGGTGATGATTGCACAACAACGTGAATGTACTTAATACCACTGAACTGTTCACCTAAAAATGGTTAAGATGGTAAATTTTACATTATATGTATTTTACCACAATGAAAAATAAAAGGAAGCTTTTTAAAATGAGCATAGAGGCACTGTGTTACTGGAGGTGGGCCATGCCCTAACCAGCTGTGACGCTTCAGTCGCAGCTTGCCGGCGGCTCCATACCACACCCCTATATGCTGCAAATGCCTTGAGCATATTGGAGCTGCTGGGGACAAAAGGTCACTGAGGTCGCTGTTTCCACTACAACTCAAACTAGCTAGAGAGTCTTTTCTTGTACTAGGCACCACTCAGAGCCGGCAGCCCTTACAGCTAGCTCAGTTATAGGTCAGAGCAATAAGTGGTAGACGTGCAAAATGGAGGAGCTTGCCCTTCGGGTTGGAGAAGCTATTTCAACATGTGCCAGACTACTGCGGATCCCTAGAAACTTCACCAAGATAGCAGGACTCTGACACATGTGTGCTTTACTTGGGCATCTTGGGTACATCTGCTACTTTCTGCTCATCAGATCTAGTCAGCGTGATGCTGACAGTGTAGTGGCCCAGCCTGGTATTCTTGGGAGAGTGGACTGATCAAGGTCCCCCGTGAACAAGTTGTGAGAGAGATGCCTAAAATGACACTTCCAGATGAAAATTAACTGCCTGTGATGATCTCTGCTTATTGGAATGAACCGACAAGAGTTATTTTGGAAGAAGTGCATCTGGAGAGAATGTTGAAGTGAATTTTGAAATGAACCCCAAAGGATTTGCTAGACTGGAACAGTATGAGTAAAGATGTAAAGATAAGTAAATGCAGGATATAAGAAGTGGTTGGTTGACTAATTGATACATCCAAAAAATATTTGTTGAGCACCTACTAAGTGCCGTGACTTACTTTGCTCAGTTTATAAAAGAGAGTGGTAGGATGTGGCTGGGCTTTAAATGACAGAAGAAGGAAATGGTACTTCATTCAGAAGGCAAGTGCAAAGCACTTTAAGGTTTCTAAGCTGGAAAGTGACCTGGTTAGAGCTGCTTTTTAGGAGGATTAATCTGGCAGCAGAGGCTAATAGTCCAGCCAGGAAGAAGAAATGAGGATCTGAATCAGAGTAATGACAGTGAGGAAGGCAGGGGAAGGCCATTTGAAGAAGTGTTGTGGAGGAGGAACCTACATCTGTCTGGACATGGGGGCCAGGAAGAGACATAAGCCGAAAAGAACGCCAAGGTTTGGAGCTTGAGCGATTGAGATGAACAAAAAAATAATGAAGTCACGAGGTGGATACGGTATTAGGTGGAAGATACCAATAATTATCGCTGATATTATTAGACTGGAGCACCTGGAGGGCAGGGACTGTGGCTGCTTTGGTTCACATTTTTATCTCCGGTGTTTGGCACAAGGTGAGCACTCAATAAATATTTGTCACAAAATATGTTAAATGCTCGACCTTACTGAGTTGTCACCTCCACCCTAAGAAAGAGGCGTAATTATCCCATTTTTTTTCCTGCTATCAATTCTATTTTTTATTTTGAAATAATATGCCTCAGGCATATACAAAAACATAGGGAATGATATAATAAACATCCCTCTATAGAGATACCTACTCCTCAACACGAGAAACCAAGCAACAGAGGTATTATCCTTATCTCCATTTTACAGGTGACAAAGCTGGGGCTGAGAGTGGTTAAAAAACTTGCTCAAGGTCACACAGCTAACACCTGCCAGAGCTGTGATTTGAATACATATCTGTCTGCCTCCAGAGTCCATGGTCTTAACCACACCTAGTTTGTGACACGGATGACATCTGAGTGGAGGGACTCAGCAGGCAGACGGAAATACAACACGTGAGGTAGAGAGAGAATTCAGGACTGGAAATATTGATATGGGAATTATCTGCATCAGAGTGATGGTTGAAGGGATGGCAGGAGAAACGCACCAAACAATAATAAGTGGTCTGAGAACAAAGCCTTGGGCTTGGGCAAGGAGCTTTCTTGGAAGGAGAACAAAATATAAGAGACTATTTTAAAACCCGCCTGTTCACAGAAGTAAGTGCTCTTTTTATGCTGGCCTAGAGCTTCCCTTTTAGTTCCTAGAAAAAGGCAGAGCTGCCTGCAGTCCACAGAGTGTTGTTTCTCTACATCTGGCATAGGGCTAGGCCAAAGAAGACATCGATACTTTGCATCATCAAGTTTATAAAAATCCTGAAGGCGAGGATGCTATTTTTTTTCCAGGCGGAACCTCAAATGCAGCTCTGACTTTATCATATCGGGTATCTGATACGTTCCTAGCTGAGACTGTGCTTGTTCAGAGATGTGTGCCCTCCTCCACACATAACATGGACCACTAGGATTTAATAGCGCTGAATAGGATTTTATTGAATTTGTAATCGTTAGCAATACTACCCCCTGAGGAAACATTTCTTGGCTTCACTGCCAAATCAAAAGTTTTAGTTGCCTCAGGAGAAATGTAAGTATTCCGGAAAAAGTCTTGCAAGTGTTTGATAAGCATCCAAATTCTCCTCAGGTCACTGAAGATCACAGGATTTTGGGAAAGTTCCCAGTTAATATCATGTTTTCATTTAAAAATTCTTAGAGCAAGATTATTTGCAACTAGAATATCTGTGACACAAATTTCTCAAGAAGATGTTCTCTAGAAGAAATTTGGTCATGTCCAATAAAGTAGTTTAGTCTTGGCATATGACGTGTCCTTAGAGATCTTAGAGGACATTAGCAAGCCCTTTTAAAAAGATCAGAAACACAGAAGGTGGAGACAGTATATTATTTTGATTCTCCCTGATTCCCCTTCTCTGTAAAGTCAGGATAGGTTAGGCTAGGGACAAAGTTTAATTAACTTTTAAGTCTCAGTGGCTTCATGCAAAAACAACCACAAAAAGATGTTCTTTTCACTCAAAAGAATCTTCTGTGACTCTTCAGAGTAGTTAATTTCCAAACAATGGCTTGGAGAAACAGTCTGTTTCTCTCTTCATCCATTTCAATCTAATGCTGAATAGTCTTGGGTCATGGTCACGTCTCGAATTTAGAGCTAATTTATCATCATTACTTTCTCTATCATCTCAATATGTGACCTCCAAATATTAAGACCAGGGAAGAGAAAGCTGAAGGGCCACACAGGTTTTGCAGAGCTTTGGCCCAAAAGTAACACATCCCTTCTCACATTCCACTGGCCAGAACCGGTCACATGGTCCAAGCCAACAGTAACAGGGTGGACAAGTGTCACCTCCTGTGTGCCGGTGAAGGACAGGTAAATACTGACGTGTACAATCATATCTACCATTTTCACAAAGGTGAAAATCACTGAAACCTGAAACACTGATAACAAAATGAGGACAACCACGACGCTCCTGGGCAAGGGAAGTAATTTGATGAATATGCAGGTAACTAGGTCTTAACTCGTCTGATATTTTGCTTGAGAGTGAAAATAGTTTTGTTGAAATATACTTATTTTCCATTCAGGATTCACAAATACTAGAGAAAAACAGCCATTTTCCCAAACACTGGGCAAAGGCTGATGTAGCATAAATCTGGACGTGGATTCATCTGCAGATGATGTAGCGTTAGAAAAATAAGTTTTTTCTCCCCTTCCCACTTCTTGGCTCTACAGAAAATGTAGGAACTAGATCAGCCTCCTTGAGGCTTCTTCTGACATTTCCACATGCTCTGGGGCCATCTTGGTTGGTCCACTTTTCATTCCTTTGGTGTCATCCACGTCGCTATGTTTCTCCTCCAGGTCTCCCTTCAATCTCCCAGCAACTGCCATAGTACCTTGTGCATGACCATCAGTCAGTTCACATCAATGTTTCTTAAGTAAATGAATGGCTAGTCACACTTTTTGCCTTACTTAGGATCAACAGAGGCAGCCATTTCAAGGACGTACTCTTGCTTTTCTCACTTCACTGCCCTCCAGTTCTTGCTGCTTTGTTCAAATTCTCCTGCTTTACTGGGTGCGGGTTTGGAGAGACAGTGAAACTTGGGGACATGAGGCAGTCTAAATACCAGAAGTGCAGAGTGGCTGTCAGAAGTCAACAGTTTGTCATCTAACAACCTGGATAGCGATTGGGGCTAGGGGATAAGCCAAGGAGGATTCCTCAGAGAACTGTTCAATGACACCAAAATATTTATATACAGATTTCCTTCCCTGTTGTTATTTTATTTCTAGTTTATTCTATGTTAACTTATCCTAATAATTTGGATATAATTCCTCACTTATTTTAACCTAATGCTGATTTTATAGCTCTGATTAATGGAAGATGTATTTTTGAACTAATCTAAAAAATTTTTCTTTGCAGTAGGCTATTTAAATTGTTCGGATTTATATCTTTTCACCTACCAATTAGTGTTATGGGTGCTTTAAAAGAAATCTATGCTTATATGCAACAGGTCAAAAATACTCGTGTGCAGTAAGTACTCACCAAGTAAACTCTTGATAAACCCACCAGTAGAGGGATAGAAGAAAGCACATAATTCCAGGATCATTAAATCATTCATAATCTATTCCCCCCAGTGGACACAGGAGTCCTAGTATTGATGGAATTTGGAGATGGAAGCTACATCTGACGTAATCTAGGCAGGTGACTCTCTTATTTTATAAATGAAGAGACTAGGCCAGTGTATGAGTTGTGACCAGAGTGGTCCTGACTGTATTCCTGGTGTTCTTCAGTAATAAAGAAATTATACCAGGGTCAATTTTGTCATATGCAAATATCCTAACCGACTCCCAGGGCGGTAGGAAGATGAAATGATATAAGACATGTGAAGGCGATCTGGAACTTTAAAAATAAATGTAACACTATATTGATTAAATAAACATTTATTTGGAAGGCTGCAATGTGCCTACTATGCATTGGACAAAAAGAGATAAAAAATAGAGTCTCTACAAATAATTTACAATCCAGTCAGAAAGAGAGATGTATAAGGGCTAGGAAAACATGGAATAGATACTAGTCTAAGAACTATGTAGAGTTCCGTGAAATTTTAGTTATGGTGGAGTGTTGTACACTTAGGGTTGCAAGAAAAAAGGACGCATTTCTTCTCTTTGGCTTTTCCCAATGGCTTAATACTAACAATAGCAACAACTACTCAACATCATAAACGAAAACACGGTACCTTATAATGGATGCTTTCTATCTCTATCTTCCAGTTCAGTGAAGACGGCAAATGAGCACTCAACACAGTGCCAAGGGAAAGCGTCCCTTCCAACAGTTCCAACAGCGAAGTCGCAGGTTGACGTGAGATGACTGACTTAACAGGCACCTCCTAGGGCGCCAACACTGTTGCTCTTACTTCCACCCCCAGCCCAAATGCTATGCCGGCTGCCCACGTGCTGAAATATACAGACAGAGCCCGCTAGGGCCTTACTGGATCTGGAGAGCATGTGGCAGCCTTTTTTCTGCCCCACCCTGAAGTCCCACCTATCCTGGAACGCTCGGGAAGGAAGCGGATGGGCGGTGTGGAGCGGCGCGGATTGCCATCTCCCTTCCAGCGGTCACACCTAACACAAGGCCCCCATTGTGTCTTGGGGAACAGTAGCCTCGCAGTACGACGCTGGCTGGCTCTCTTTAAAGGAAGCGGGCGCTCCTGCTCCGGCGACCGCAGCCAGAGACGAGGCGAGGCGGGGCGGGGCGGGGAGGACAGGTGGCAGGAGCGCAGCGCGCGCGCTCTAGGGCCGCGCGGGCGCCCAGGGCCCCGCACGCCGGCCTCGCGCGGGCGCCGCGCACCTGGGGGCGGAGCCTGGCTCCTCAATCAGCCCGCCCGCCCGCCCCCGGCCGGTGGCGAAGCCCCCACCCCGCGCCCTCCCGCCGCGTTACGGACGCGCGCAGGTGCGGGAGGCCGCCCGGCCCGGAGCCCTGCAGACCCGCCCGCCATGGAGCACATCCGCACGCCCAAGGTGGGTGCACGGCGTGGGCCGAGAAGCTTGAGCCAGAGCTGGGCGGCCGGAGGGATGCTGAGCGTGCGGGCGGCCCGGCCTCCCTGCGGGGCGCTGGGCGAACCGGCCCCGCGAGCTGGGGAGGAGGAGGCAGCGCCGAGCATCTCTCGGTTCGCCGTGAGGCTCATCCTTCTCTGGCTGCCTCACAGGCCCAGCCTTGGCTGCTGCTGGCTCTAAGCTCTGGTCCTTCGGGGTGGACATAGGGTGAATGGGAGGGAACCCCAGTTGTCTATTGAGTCATGGGGCTGGGGATCTGCTGATAAACGCTCCCTTCTGGTTTGGCACTGGGTTGTTGCTGTTGCTGCTTTTTTTTTTCCTTCCAGTTTTTGTGTTGGCCGTTCTGAGCAGTTGAGAGAGAAACCAGCTTTCCTAATACAGATGAGAGGAATGGAGTTCTCTGCAGGGGGATTGAATGCTCTTGGGGAGCTTGTTGCATCTAAGGGTTCAGACCCGCCCAGCTCGCTCTTCCGGCGTCCCATCTTCAGGCTGTCAGCCGCAATGGATCTTAACAGGGCGCTCCTGTTTGCCTTAGGTTGAATGATGTTATCAGTCCTACCATCTTCTTGCCTTTTCCAGCCTGTTTCATTCTTTGGGGAGAAGGGTGCAGCTTATACATTCGTCTACTGGTGTGTTTTAAACAACACCAGCTTTTGTCACTCAACAAAAGCGCCTGGTCCCTCATCATTGCAGTTAAATAACACTGGAAACGTTGATCGCTTTACCAAACCCTACTCATAGTTGTACTAGTAATATAACTGAGAGTGGAAAAGATGATCGACATTCCTGTCTGATCAAAACCCTAAACTAGCGGAAGAATATACTTTAAAAGCCTGTTGGTTCTCTCCTGTTACTGCCACCACAGCTCCTTGCGTTTCCAGGATGAGCTCCTGTTGGAAATCTAGGCCTTTCAGAGAGTTAAGTCAAAGCAAGGTCTGAGTGGTCAGAACTTAGGTGGCCCCACAGATCCCACTCATTTCATGGGGAGAGGAGGGCCATTGCTTTGACTTAAGTCCGGTAAGAAGAAGTCATTCCTAAATTCTGGAATGGTTCCTAAGTATCTCTTTGTAAAAGCAGCTTTACAATTATCTCGTGCCCGTGGAAGAATAAATCTTTTAGTTTGCCAGAGAATGTTAGTTCCAACAGTAGATTTAAATTGTATTGATTTTGCCCTGTGGAATTAAATTGTTGCTTCACAATCAGGAAATTGTAAACTTAGAAGAGAGTGCCATAAACTACAGGATAGGTGCCTCAAAGCTTTCAGGGTTTAAGTGGTACTAAATAATTTATTCCAGAATGACGAATTTAACTCATGAACTCCCTCTGCCTTTGCCAAGGTCAGCCTTTCTTTGTCGTGATGAAGGGGCCTTTAAAAAAATGCTATCTGATGTGAATGTCAATAGCAAGAGCGATAGAGTGATAGGGCACCGGGTGCCATTTTCCTAGAGAATATGAATTTGAGGAGTTAAGGCTTTTTCTAGTGTATATTCAGACTAACTGTGTGCAAAGCCATGTGTGTAAGCCTGAGCAGCAAGCAAGATTCTCATTTATTCTTACGGTTGGTTTTCATAAACACCCTCCAAGCAGTGTAGTACTTCAAATCAGAAATCTCCTTTTATCAGGAAATGGAAAGGAGTGAGGGAAAATGGAGAACTATCTGAAATGTCATTGAATTGGGGGTCATTAACATTTAGGATAATGCGAGTGTAAAAAATAAAGAGCTACAGAGGTTGGGTGGATTCGATTTATTCATTCATTCATTTCACTCTACGAGCATTTGAGAACCTTTCATGTACAATGCTCTGTGTTAGGTCCTGGGAGCATGAAACGTCAGGGAGCTCCCATTCTGGGAGACAAGGCAGTTGCAAATCTGGATAGAGATGTACAGTGGGCAGTGGGCAGAGAGGGGAGAATGGATGGAGGATTGGCTCTACCATAAAGGGAGAAGGAAGCCTTCTTAGAAGAGCTGAGTGTTACTCTGCAAGGCATCAAGGAGGACCAGGAGCATTTGAGACAGCTGTCTTGCAGTTGTGTAAATAAGATGTATTCTCGCAACTAAGATGTATTCTCGTAAATCCTTACAACCTCAAAGAAGCTGAAAACCTTAACGGTGAAAAGATAAAAATGATTCCTTGAGGATAAACAGCATCTCTTCATTTTAAATTTTTAAGTGCAAAACTAATTTTTGCAGCATTTAAGTCTGTAACTTGTTTTGGTAGTTATTAAATTGCAAGATCAGTTGTTTATTAGAGCCACCCCTAATTGAGGACAATAAAACCGTATTATCTGCCAAAAAACCCCACAAACAAAACTAATTTTTGCAATGTAAATGAAAAAGCGAGCAAGACTACCTACAGATCACTTGTTGTAAAATGCATAATATTGATGGTCATATTCATCTTTATTATTTACTTCCATTATACTCTGGGGGAGCCGAATGGGTAACTTCACTTAGACTTCATGATTTCACATCTTGGGTGGCTTATACAGAGTATGCACAAAGTTTGTTTATCTGACTACGGTGGGTTTGAGCGATATTTACCATGTGGGTAGCAGGGTTTTATTTTAAGAGGAAAAGAAATGCATGCGTGTGCAATGTACAGTTGCTTTCTGCCCACCGTGAAAGTCAGTCATTTACTCTTTGTAGACTGCGCTCCCCATCACAGCCCCTGTGTGCTGCTTCAGTCTCTGGAGTGCGGTTTAAGGAGACAGATGCACATGAATAATCTGGAGTGCTTTGCACATGTTTCTTCCTGGGTGTGTGTGTGTGTGTAAGTGAAGCCTTTAATAGAGCAGATGCTAAGCAGGGTGTTTCTCTTGCAGAATGATTCCTCTACAGAAAGAAAAATGTTCCAAGGGAGAGCTAGTTTGCAGCTGGGTTGAAGTGAGGACACCAAGCTTACCCGCAGTCATCACAGTGAACTTCGGGGTTTCTCCTTCACTGTCTGGCTTTCTTTACCTCTGACAACTTGCTGGCAAGAAGATGCCCTGCAAGAAGCTTAGGGATAGTTTGAGTTCAAGTCCGACTTAGTTCTGTGAAGAGGCATCAGGGTTCCTAGAAGCAGCCTGAAGTGTGTTATTAACCTCCTAACTGGTCTAGTTTTCTCTTTGCTCTCTAATCCATTCTCCACAGAGGAAGCCTGAGTGATGCTTTGTGACAAATTGATCATCTTACTTCCATGTTCAAATTCTTGGGTAGCTTCCCTTTGTACCCAGGATATAGAGACTCTCCACGGCAGCCAGTGGGGCCCTGCGTGGACTGACTCTGCCTACTGCCCCAGCCTCATTCTGTGACCATCTCATTGTTCCTTCCCCTCTGATCACCACTGGCTTCCATGGGTTTGTCACATGTGACAGGTTCTTTTCTGCCTCAGGACTTTTGCACTGCCATTCCCTCTGGGGCATACTCTTATCCTCACTCTTCACCTGGCCCCATCTCTCGTCTTTCTAGTTTCAGATTAAATATAATTTCCTCAGAGAGGCTATTGTCCAATTCCCCATCGAAATCAGGTCTGCCTGTCATATTCTATCACCGTATTTTCACCTCATGCCCCTTGTTACGAGTTTTAAATTTATTTGGCTGATTATTTGTTTAATATGAAGTTCCCCTGCTGGACCAGAAGCCCAGTGAAGGGGAGGATCATATCTTGTTCACCTGTATCTGCAGCACCCAACATAGTTCTGGGCACCAAGTAAGCACACAGTAAATTAATGAATAATCGAGTAATAGAAGGGATGACTAATTCTTGATTTCAGCACTTTGGTTTTTAGTATTTGCTTGAGTAATCCAAGCCTCATATGCCTGGTACCCGTGACTGGTACAGTATTGTGAACCTTGCAATAGTGTTAAGTACTTGTGGGTGTCAATATATTATGTAAAATATATAGCATATATATAATTATATGTATTTTGTGATTATATATAGTTTTAATATGGTAGAATTCAAATAACATAAAATGCACCCTTTCAGTCATTTTAAAGTGTACGGTTCGGTGTTTTTTAGTATATTTACAGCGTTTTGTAACTGTCACTACCATCTAATTCAGAACAGTTTTATCATCTCCAAGAGAAACCCATTATCTATTAGTAGTCAGGCGTCATTCCCCCTCCAGCCCATGGCAACTGCCTGTCTACTTTAGTCTCCATTGGATTTGCCTATTCTGGACATTTCATATAAACGGAGTAATATAACATGTTGGCCTGTGATCATTTGCTTCCTTCATTTAGGATAATCTTTTCTGAGTTCATCTAAGTTATAGCATGCATTGGT